CCAGTCAGCTTCTCCCAAGAGCCTAAGTCACAGGCTGGTAACGACTTAGGTGCTCAAAAGAGAGCTGTAATGTATCCAGCCTCCCATCAAGCCAGTGAAGAACTGACGCACACCCCTCGGCACCTGAGTGGTCACTCAGGAGTTCTGCCTCCGCTGCCAGCAGACATAAGGAAAAACAGACAGAGAGGTCAAATGACTTTGGGAGAAGGTCACCAGAAGCCATCAGCTGAACGGGAGATGGCATGCAAGGGCTTTTCTGTCTCTGCCTACTGCTCTGGGTAGAACCTTCTACCCAGAAGGCTGGTCAATCCCAGTCTCTGTGGCTGGCCTGGAGAAAGCAGTGTGGAGGAGACTGGGTAGGAAAGCGGAGGCACCGTGCTTGTGATCAGTCCTCTGCCTTCCTACCAGCTGCCTCGTTTTGACCCCCCTGTCACTGGCTGCATTCAGGTGGATGGGAAGGCAAGAAGTGGGTGCCCTGGTTTGTAAACCCAAAGAACCAGAACACAGTCCCTGCAGAAAGCCTAGCTCAGCAACTTGTGCGATCCATTCACTGAATAACTGCTGTATGTCAGGCCCTGTGGCCAGCACCAGGGACACAGCAGTGAGCCCTGTGCAGCACCAGAGTCACTGCCCTCCCTAGGGAGCTCACATTCCAGGTGGGAGATATACAAATGGTATGCTAAGTGGTAGTAAGTGCCAGAGAGAGAGAGAGAGAAAGGGAAGTGATGGGTGGGGATGAGGCTTACACGTAGAGCAAGCAGTTAACATTTAAGCAGACTTCAAGGAGGGAGTGCCAACCAGACTGACAGCTTATGGGAGGACGGGGCAGGATGCCTGGAATGTGAGCAAGGGGCCACAATGCTGGAGTGGAATGAGCAAGGGAGAGTAGAAGGTGGGGAGAGCAGGCTGTCACTGCAGACCCTCTAGGGCTGTGATTCACAGACAGAGGGGAAGGTCTGGCTGCTGTGTGGAGAATAGAGCAGAGAGGTGCAGGTGGGGGTCTCTGCTGCCCCCCAGTTGAGAAGATGGTGCCTTGGCCCACTGGTAGTAGTGGAGGTGGTGAGAGAAAGTCAGACTCTGCATACCTTGTGAAGGAGAGCTTGTTTCCTCACCTGGACTTTTGTTCCGTTCTCTATAAAAACGTTTTTTAATATTTATTTATTTTGGTCTGTCTGAGAGAGACAGAGACTGAGCATGAGAGGGGGAGGGGCAGAGAGAGAAGGAGACAGAGGATCTGAAACAGGCTCCAGGCTCTAAGCTATCAGCACAGAGCCCAACGCGGGACTTGAATCCACGAACCCCGAGATCATGACCTGAGCCGAAGTCGGATGCTTCGGACCAACTGAGCCACCCAGGTGCCCCTTGTTTTGTTTTCTGGTTTGGGGGTTTTATTTCTGAGGATTGAACAAGGCAATGTACATGAAGCTTCCCAGCACACAGCTATGTCTTGAAGACTGTGAGCTGGTGTTCTAACCAGTCCACTACTTTGCGGTTGATCTGTGGGAACCCTGGCCTTGGCATACTTCTCAGCCTGAGGAATGGTGCGGTTCCCCATGACCACCCAGCCTCATCAAGGGGACAAGAACAGGGGGCATCAGAACATGAGCTCAGCTCAAGAGCCCTCCAGTGAGGAAGGGCTGTGGGTATAAAGGCTCAGGAAAGCAGGACAGAAAGTGCCAGGGTCCCCAGCACAAGAGCCCCTGCTAGCAGCTGTCGTGTCTTTCTTCAGGATAGAGTCTTCCCTGGACCCAAGCAAGTGAGATATTGAGGGGCTCTTGAGGTGGGGGCCGCACCCAACTTCCCTCCTTTCCAGGATGCCATCTCGCCACTGAGCCTCCGAGCAAAATCTATTTTCCTCCAGACTTAGGTTTTGACACACAAACAGCTTAGACTAGAAATATGTCAGCCCCAGAATTGACTCACCATTAACTTTTCATAAGCAACTCAGGTATGAACCCTTTATGACTCTGTTATGACACAGGACAAATCAGCTATCTGGTGTTTTATTTTTATTATGGAAGTGATAGGAATAGGGCTTTTATAAGCAGAGCAATGCTTCAGAGAAAGCTCACTGGGTTCTGGCAGCCCTCTCCAATATTTTACTCCATTGGGAGTACTGTTGTATACTTTTATTTTTCCCCTGAAAATGAAAGCAGGCTGCATGCATCCATGATCCACCTTCCTCACTGTGCCCTAGACCAAGCCCCTCTCTGGGCCCGCACACCCTCACTGGGCTACTTAGCCAAAAAGCATCCTTATAGGTCTCTTGATGGTTGTGGTGGGTCCCCCTGGACTGTGAGCAAGACAGAAGGTCAGCTTTTCCGGGAGCTGCTCTGCGGTGGCCTCCAACAACCCTTTGTACCACAGTGATGGATGGCCTTCCCCCACCTCCTGCCACCAGATTGCTTCTGTGGAAAAGGGCACAGGGGATGCAAGAGGGATGGTGTTGGCTCTAGGGGGTCAAGGGGACTTTTGCGTATCCTGTTAAGACAAAGAAGGGTGCCTGGGTGACTCAGTGGGTTAAGCATTCAAGTCTTGATTTCGGTTCAGGTCATGATCTCCAGGTTCGTGAGTTCGAGCCCCACATCAGGCTCTGTGCTGCCTGCGCAGAGCCTGCTTGGAATTCTCTCTCTCCTTCTCTCTCTGCCCCTCCCCCATGTGTGCTCACTCTTTCTCAAAATAAACTTTAAAATAAAGAAGAAAAGTAACACACCCACATATGTCACACTTCCCACACTGGGAAGAGTGTTCACGTGTGTTCTCTTGCTAGATCTCCCCAACACCCCAGGAGGTAGGCAGGGGACTGCATGTGGAGAAACTGGAGCCCAGAGGGACAAGGGGACATTTGGTCAGTAACAGAATTCAACTAAAATCAGAGTGTTCTAAGCCCCAGTGCTGGGCTTCCATTACCCTGCGTGCCTGATGCTGCACAGCCTGTTTTCTCACCAATAAGCCTGGCCCTCCTCCTTCCCATCAGCTCTGAGACCCATCCCTGGCAGATGCTGAGTGCGGCTGCAGAGATCATAGGGTCTGGGTTTATTTATCTCTCTCTTCCTGAACCCCCTGGCATCAGCCCCTCCTGGTTCTCTTTTATGTCCCTTCCTTAGTGTTTTGTCTACCCTCATTCTCCTCCAAGTTCTATTCCCCTTCTGGGGGTATCCAGGTCTCTGTAAGCTGCCAGGAAGTATTTGGGGAAGGTGGATTTGAACCAGGGGTAGGCCAACTCTCCCTGCAAGTCAAATCTGTCCTCCCTCCCACCTCCTTTTTTAAATAAAAGTTCATTAGAACTTAGTGATGGTCATTAATTTATGTATTGTCATGATTATCTTTGTGCTGCAAGGCAGAGTTAAGTAGTTAACAGAAACCCTAAGGACTACAAGCCTGGAAAGATTTGCTCTCTGTCCCTTTAAGAAAAACTCTTGTTTTTATTTTAATTCCAGTTAACACAGTGTAATATTAATTTCAGGTGTACAATATAGTGATTCAACGCTTCCATACATCACCCAGGGCTCCTCACAAGTGCACTCCTTAATCCTGTCATGAATTTCACCCATTCCCCCCACCCACCCACCTCCCCTCTGGTAATCAACAGTTCTCTATGGTTAAGAGTCTGTTGGTTTGGCTCTCTCTCTTATTTTTTCCCCTTTGTTTATTCATTTTGTTTCTTAAATTCTCCACATGAGTGAAAGCATGTGGTCTTTGTCTTTCACTGATATGTATGACTTAGTATATATAGTATATATAGTCTCTCTCTATTTGCTAATGACAAGATTTCATTCTTTATGACTGAATAATATTCCACTGTATACGTATACCACATTTTGTTTTACCCACTCATCAGGTGCTGAACACTGGTGCTGTGTCCATATCTTGGCTGTTGTAAATAATGTGGCTCTAAATACCGGAATGCATGGATCCCTTTGAATTGGTGTTCTTGTATTCTTTGGGAGAATGCCTAGCAGTGCAATTGCAGGATCATAAAATAGTTCTACTTTTAACTTTTTGAGGAACTTATCCATAATGTTGCTCACAGTGGCCGCACCATTGCGTTCCCACCAGCAGCGCAAGGGGACTCCTCTTCTTCCACATCCTCCCCAGCACCTGTTGTTTCTTAGGTTGAGTGTAGCTCTTCTCACAGGTGTGAGATGGCATCTCATTGTCGTTTTGGATCATATTTCCCTGATAAGTGATGATGTGCATCTTTTCCTGTGTCTGTTAGCCATCTGGATGTCTTCTTCGGAGAAATGTCTGTTCATGCCTTCTGCCCATTTTTAATTGGATTGTTTGTTTTGGGGGTGTTGAGTTTCATATGAAAAACTTGCCAGCCCTACACAAGGCTGCCCAGCAGAGCTTCTCAGCAGGTGGAAAAGAGCTCCAGGAAAGCAACCAAGCAGCCTACAGATTAGTAGGATGGGCAGGAGAGCCCAGTGATTAGAAATTGAGGGAGTGTGTGGGGAAGGTGTTCAAGCCCGGCCTCACAGAGAAGGGTAATAAGGCCTTAAGTGGACATACCAGGTGGAGGCGAGCAACACGGAAGTGGATGGAGTTCCTGCTGCCCGCGCCGGCCCAGCCCCACAGGCAGCTTTGGCCGAGTGAGTGGGCTCGGCTACAGTGTAGCAGAATTCTAGCAGAGATGGGACACCAAGGCTTTTCTGTCCAGGAAGCAACTTTATTCGTCCTGCCAGCATGAGCTCAGTGGGTTCATACCCAAAAAACCGAGCCCCAGGTGCAGTGGGGTATATTCTTTGATGCAATTTCTCCTTGTTTGTCTCCCATATATGGTGACACGTAGTCTTAGTGGACACAGTCCGAGTTACAGAGTTGTGTTGATTGGGCCACGTTGCCTTCCTTTGTTCCGAGGAGGCCTCCACGACACTCTGTAGGGAGGGGCTCTGCCACACCAGGGTTTCTGTGTTCTTGGAAAAGTCAGAGACCTGGCTGTCCCTTCCCAGCCTGCTCAGTAGAGAGGCCAACCTTGTTGTCTTCCTCACCCTGTGCAGGACTTCGGAGAGGATGACTCCCTCTACATCACCAAGGTGACCACCATCCACATGGGCAACTACACCTGCCATGCCTCCGGCCACGAGGAGCTCTTCCAGACCCACGTCCTGCAGGTGAATGGTTAGTAAATGGCTCCATGCATGTCGTCCCTTCAAAGCATTTCCAAAATGCTGCTCACAGCACGCCTCCCCCCTCTGTACTCTATCTTAAAGATTGTCTTAGCCCTTCTATCTCATCTCTCTCATAAGTAAAGGGGAACAGTGGAGAAAGGACAGAGTCTGCCGACTAGCTTCTCTGTCTGCCTTCACCAGAAGCCTCATCTGATCAGATGATCCCAGCACAAGGGGGTGAGCTATTCAGGCAAGTCATGCTCGGCAGCCAAGGCCCTAGTAGGGTCCCCGTAGAATCTGCCAGTGCCACAGCGATGGCCGGTTGCTGTGCTCTTGGGTCCAGTGAGTAGCAGACACTGTGTACGACATGGCACTTCTCTTCTAGGTGGTGTTCACCCGTATCACTTGTTAAGTGGGGAGGGGTCACCTCCTCCAACAGGGGCAGCTTCCCACCTCCCTCCCTAAGAGGCTCCACGAGCCTCACTCGGGGCCAAGGTAAGGCAGAACCTACACAGGCTTGGGGTCTTTGCATTGCTTCTCTCTGACCCCTGTGTTGCCAGGACTCCTAGAAACTGGGAAGAATAAACCTTCCCAATGACAACACTGGCCGTTGAAATAGCCAGTGTTCTCTGAGCACTTAGGCTGGTCAGGCCCCGTGCTAACACGTCATGTGGATTTTCCCAGTCAGTACACTTTAATCCATGTTATGGATGAATCTCTAGGTAAGGTCACTTATCTGCAGCCACACCGCTGGTGGGCATCTTCCTAGACCCAGGACCGTGCTCTGACCTCTGTGTCACACCACTGGCTGCCCCCCCACCCCCCGGCCACGCCAGCCATCAGAATAAACAGGCCATCACGGTGCCACGGTCAGCACCCCACAGAAGTTAGATTCACCCAGCCAAGCCCAGCGGGGCATCACTCCTAGCACTGAGCAGGGCGACAAAGGGTCTGGGGGCACTAGATCATTTGTGTCAGCTGGTGCTCAGGCCTTCTGTGCTGAGAGAAAGTGAGCAAGGTGTTAAGAATGATTACATAATGAGGCTCCATTCCACTTACCTCTGGAATCAGGGTAACAAGCCATTTAAGGACAACTGGGTGAGCTCAGCTGGTGTCTACATTTACCCTGCGGGACATGTTACAGATTTTTATAGCCATACATGCCTAAGCCATATCTTAGTGTTTCCCTTGACCTGGGACATACTTCATTCTTTGGGGTTTTGCAACTGTACTTGGTGGCTTAAATATAGGCCTACGATGAAGTCCCTGGATTTCTCCGGAAATAACCCAGGAGCTCCTAGGTAACCACCCCTGGGTGAGTTAACCCAGAATAGGTTCAGGGGCCAGTGTCAAGTGTAGCCGGCAGGCAGTGTCTGGGGTCTCTGGCGGCAGGAGCTCCTTCAAGGGCAGAACACATGCTCTGTAGCAGAAAGAGGACTTTTGCCTCTAAACCTGGCAAGTAGTGCTGGCATGACCGCTTGGTTGTGAAAAAACTACCTACGGTTGGCCCCAGGTCCCTCGGGTGCTCAGATAAACCTAGACGAGAAAAATGAAGCAGGATTGACAGATTCTTAGCCTTTGCAACCTGACCCCACTTCACAAGAATGAGAGGCTTAGGGAGACAGCTTGAGCCTTTTCTCCTTTATTTCCTGCAAACAAATCTCTGAGGAGGGAGAGGGGAGCCACCTGCCAAGGAACCTGAGTGCCTCACAGGTGAGAACCTGTACTTGCCTCGGGTCTGGAAGACACTGTGTGGTCTTAGAGGACTTCACACGCTAAGTGGCAAGTCCGTGCCCTGCTGCCCCGTGTCTCCCCAGACTTCTGAGACTGGGGTCATGACGCAGCTGAGCCAGTTTGTCACTCCCAGTGCTGAAGGCAAGAGCAAAGCCCAGACCCGGAAGCACCATGGATATCGCTATGCCTGAGGTAGAGAATAGGCCTCTCCCTCCAGGTGGGAAGGAGGCTGTGCACCTGTTCAGTCCCTCCCTGACCACCTCCCCCGCTTGCCCCCTTACCCCACCATTACCTAGTCTCCCCCGAAGAGACTGCTTTTGGCCCAGAGGAGTCTGCGTAAAGCAAAACCTACTGCTGAGAACCAGAAGAGGCCACTTGAGATCTATCTCCTAACTGCTGAGAGATTTAAGGCTTCTCTTCCCCAGAACCACTTGTAGTTGGTGATCAGCTTTTTCTGCCATTAAATTGGCCCCTTGTACTTGGCTCCAATAACAGCCAGGTGAGACCACCCTGGTGGCCCTCACTGCAGGAGCCCATGATGTTCCTGGGCTGGGCTGACTCCTGACTCTTGGGGGGAGGGGATGACATGTGGGTCCACTAACCAGCTCCCTTACGGAATCACCATGCTAAAGTAGGCCTGGAGTTGCCTTCCAAAGACATAAGTCAACTGCTTGCTGGCCTGGAAATAAGATGCAAGATTTTCCAAGTATTCCGGAAGTTAAGTTCACTATGTTGGACTGAGAGGGGGGGGAAAAAAGTTGAATCTGGAAAGATGGGAAGATGTTGAAAATAGAATGGTGTGAAAGACAGTTTAAAATTATCTGCTGAATACCTGTTGGGCGCCGCCCCTAATTCACAGATGAGGTGACTGGAGCCCAGAGAGACTCAGTGATGTGGAGACCCAGCCCTGCAGTTAGGAACTACAAAGCAGATCTTGACCCCAAAGCCCAGCCTCTTAATGCCTGCCCTGCCCTTCTCTACCCCTCCTTACCGGAGCATCATGTCCTTGCTATTAAAGAATCCAGATAGAGGATGCAGGTGTGGGACACACACTCTGGTAGATCGGGGACAGGCATCCTGGCTCATTTCCCTCTGCCCCTTGTGCTGAGCTCAGGCCTGGCCGAACACCGCTGGCATCCTGAGCATGTGATGAAGGAGCCACAGCAAGGAATGTAGGGCCTCAGCAGAACCGAGGTTGGCAAACCATGTGGCTCAGTTGTCCAGCTCAATTGGGGCTCAGCCCATCACCGTGTAGACTCCTAATGTGCTTCAGGTCCCTGGAGGGTGGGCGTGCTGTGCAAGGCTCACCATGGCAGTGGGCACAGGGAGCTTGGCAGGCTGCAGCACTGTGCCAGGGATTGCTGGGAAGAACCCCTGGGAAGGCTGAGAAGGCACCATTGGAGCTCAGGACGGCGGGAATGCTGCCTTGCTAACGAGTCTCCTTAGGAAGGGAGAGACAAGGCAGTAGGAAATTCATCTCGGATTTGTTCCCTTTCGCCATTCATCTGAAGCATGATTGTAAGCTGTGAAAACCCTGAGCTGCCTGGGTAGGATTTGGTGCTTTGCCTGGCAATGCTATTGGAGGTCTGTTCAGTCCCCACTTGGCCCAGAGGATGGCCTGTGGCTTGCTGAGCTGAGGCAGCACCTGGAGCATACAGGGAGCGATGTTCTGTGTCCATTCCTCTAGGTGTCTTCTCTTTAACCAGAGAGGGAAGGGGTTGGGGAAATGAAGAAGGGAGGACAGAAGGACTCCAGTTACCTGCTTCTCTCAGCGCTCAGAAGACTCCAAGTCAATGGGCAGATGTGCTAGGGAGTTGATGTGTGGCTGGTGGGCCCAAGACCCCGAGATCCCAGTCCAGGGAGCAGGAACAGGGTAGGGCTTTCCACCCAAGGCACGGTGCAGATCCCTTCTGGCGACGACTCAGCCACAGAATCAAGACATGAACTCTGAGCCAGAGAGACCTGGATTCAAGTGCTTTTGGCATACAGGGAAGGCAAGTAAACTCACCTGTAAAATGGGAATAACAGTAGTACCTCCTGCCTTATCATCCTGATGAGATCTGCTGTGTCTAAAATACTTGGAAAGTGTCCATTCACAGTCCAGAGTGGGACAGATAGGAGAGAGATGATGATTGTCTCAAGCCATATTTAACTGTAGCTTGTGGACACAGATGGTCTGAGCTGGTAGACCCTCAGAGAGCCTCCAATCCATTATACAGATGGGAAAATCAAGACCCAGAGAAACTTGCCAAGCTAGGGATAAAATACTTCTTTCTGGAGCTGCCCTGCTCCATGGGACTTCTGGGGCTTCTCCATCCACAACTCTGCCTTGACCTGGGTGGTGAAAGAGAGTGCTAACCAGGTAATGACTTCCTCTCTCATATTACTAGTATGGCTTTCCCATAGACCAGGCCTACTAGAGATGAGGCCCAAACACTGACATGATTTATAAATTCATGCAACCCACATGCATTGCCTTCATAGGAAAGCGTGAGACCTTCAGACTTAAATGATTAATCCATTAAAATTAAAACAACCTCGACTTCCCCCACAGTTCAGACAAGGAAGGATTCATTCTCAAAACACAGTAATAATCTCCCAAATCTGTTTATTACTCCAGCTTGGCACTTTTGTGAACGTGCCTCTTACTTAGGACATACTTATGCTGCCTTTCACCTTGGAAATGATCCATGCTTCCCAAAGAAAATGGGCCTTTGTGTTACATATTCAAATGTTTTCAGTGGAGGGTTTTGCAAATTTAAAAGAAAGTGAATGCATTTACCTAGAATATATTAATTTGAAATGATTTTTTAGTGTGTGAATTAATTCAAAGGAAGAGGGGAGATGGGGCCAGTGGAAAACAGGTGGGTTTTTGTTGCCGACAGGAATTTGTGTCTCCGCGCCACCCCCTCAGTCTCTGACTGTGAAAATGCGGGACTTTTCTGACTGGGCCCCATCCACGTGGAGGCCAGGGCCTCCAGGGTCTTGGAAACCTCCATGCCCAGTGTCCTCCTCGGGCTCTCCTGTCCTGGCAGAAGGCTGGATCCAGAGCCCTGACTCTGGTAGGATTTGCACGTTGTGCCCAAGGTGAGCAGGGGTTCACCCGGAGCCTGGGCCTGTTCCGCACCAGCTGCAGGATTGGTGGCCCTGTCATCACTCACGAAGAGCACAGTTTGGTTCTGAGGGCAGTGAGTAAGCTCCCATGCCACTGCTGGGATGGTTCTTTTTTCCTTACACATTCTTGTGCCTGTTTTCCAGTTAGCACGTGGTCAGGTC